GTGGGGTACTGTCCTGGGGCTGCGACTGAGGCAGGGCGAGACGATGTCGGGGACTTGTTGGGGACCCAGCGGGAGGATCACGCAATGCTCCTATTTGTTTTGCATCTGAGCTCATGCGGTGCCAGGTGTGGGTTGGGATTTGCATGGAGCAGAAGAGGGTTTTGTCTCCTCGTTGACTTCCCAGAAGACATCATCTTCCCTCGGCACATGGGACGCGCCTGCCAGGCAAAACACTGGTGAGAAAAACAACTCCTCTCTCCTGTTCCCTTCTCCTGTGCTTTTCCTGATGTCATGGCTTAACCAAATACCCTCCTCTGTGGTTGCTGGACCTTTTCCCACCCATCAGGGCAGTGGTGCCAGGGAAACAAGGAGCAAAAACTGCACAGCCCCATGCACAAGGGGCTCCTGGTCCCACATAACCCAACCCAAAGCAGGATGCTGCTCCAGCCTGGCGCGGTGGGATGGGAGCAGCCACGGCTGCCGTTAGCGCAGCACCCCGGGGCCGGTGGCTCTCGGAGCCCAGGTCCCTTCTCATGAGTGACTCCAGCATTTGGATTAATCTTTTGGTTATAAAATTGAGACCCTGATCGCCTGTGGCCACTGAAGATATTAAGAAGGTATTAAAGAAGGGCAAGTTATTAGCCCCGGGGGTTTGATCAGTTTCCAGCTCTCGGTATTACCTTCATCCTTCCCTAAACACCCTGCCATGGCTTCAAACAGCTAAGGCAATCGCCTCGCCTGAAAATCCCTGGGATCACGGACACCGGCCATCTGGGCACTGATCCTGCCCAGCCAAAAAGCAGCCCCGCATCCCGCACAGCCCCCTGCCCGCCCGGTGCTCAATGCAAGCCCGGGGGCCTTCTCCAGAAAGCATCTCAGGCTGCTTTTGGGATCTTGTGTCTCCAAAGTCGCTAGTCCCAGCTAATCCTGCTTTGTTGAGTGCCAGGTGGGGGAGGGCAGCTTAGAAAATCAGCCAGGCACTTAACGAGCCAATTAATGCAAAATTCGCTGTCACTAAGAGGATGATGACAAGGTTTCATCTCACGGGAGCGTGGCACCGGGCCAGGGAGGATGCTGTTCCCTGGGATGCTGTCCTGGGGCCTCGGTGTTTGGAGTGGGACAGGGTGTGGGGCAGAGTTTGTATCCCCGCCCCCTGTCTTGAGAAGCTCCCCGTAATTCACAGCGGGACAGTGCAATTTGTGGGAAATGCTGTGATGTGGCTGTGCACCCCCTCGGCTGGCAGACACCCCCTCGGGGTGTCCCCAAAGCCCGGCTCCTTTTGAGCTCTGAGGATCCCAAGGGGAGCCCGGGGTACCTGAGCATGCCATGAAGTCCTCACGGGTCTGAGCTGCTGACTTTCAGGGTGCTGCCTTCTCCTTGGAGGTCAGACATCTCCTGTCCTTTCCTGCACATGGACACTTGTCTTCTTGTCCGTCCTGCCTCACCTTCCCTGCCCCTCTCTGGGGCTGGCCCTGTTTGGCATGAGGCTGTGCTGTCTGCCAGGCTTTCTCCTTCTTAGGGACCTTCTTGGATTCACTGTGCACCTCCCCATGGAGTTACTCACTTGCCTTTTTCTAGGGATAATGGCATCTTCATGGCCACTGCACCATCCATCATCTGAAAAATGGAAAATCCCATTTAATATGTTACTTCATGGCAGCTGTAAGGGAAGAAACTATTACAAGATGCCCAAAGGAGAAGGGGGAAGAACATCTCCCGACTCAGCTTGGTTGGGGTTTGTACTCACAAGGTGCTCTTGGAGCATCACGCTTTGTAGCAAGTCCAGCTCCTACAAGGAAACCGTCCTCGTGCCATGCACTGGATGGAAGAGGGTGTTCCTGCAGGTCCCATGGGATCATTTACACCTTTCCCGAAGCTCGGCAGCTGGGGCTGGGCTCGACCGAGGAGGTGCAAGTGCTGAGTGAAGCAGGAGCATCCTACGCCTCTTCCACGCAGTGTCTGTTGAATTGCTGGGGGCCTCGTGCCCATACTTGGCAGAGTTAATGCACAGAGAACACAGAAACAGTATCTTCCAGCGTGCAAACATGCACGCTATTCTGGCATGTTTGGATCAGTCGCGGTGACAGATGATACTTTTTGCCCTTGTTCTACCTGCAGATGTTTACCTGTGCTGGAAGAAAGTCCTTTAAATGAAAGAATTTGCTTTCCCAAGGCCTGGAGGAGACAGTGGCATGAATCACACAGATCAAAGCTCAGATATCACCAGAAGGATGGTAGAACGGCTGCAACGTGTGGGAGGCTCACCCAGCGAGGGGATAATGTAAAAACAACATCAAACACTGGAAAGACAAGAAATGAGAAGTCCAAATCCAGTAAGGCTGTGTATATCTACAGCAGGGTGTGGGCACACGCAGGTGCCCTAATTCAAGCAGTTGTTCGGATAGTTGAGATCCTGTTTCGATACATCTTTAAGCTGACAACTTGCCCCTGCTTGTGCTGTCGTCCAGGCAGCAGCCGTCGAGGACAGCCTTGGCCACACCAAGTGACATTTACCTGGGGGGTTTGCCGGCAGTGTTCACCAGCTGATGGGCAGCGACCAGGGAAACCTCAACCCAGGGACATTCTGCACATCAAGGTGGGGGTCTCTGCCGCTGGCTATCGCACAGGACACAACTCTTGTCGTGGGGACCTAGCCACAGCTGGAGAAGGAAAGGAAAAACATATGAAAATTTGGGGGGAAACAGAATTGCAAAGGTTGTAGCAGAATGCTGGGACCATCTCCTGTTCCCTTGTACTGTCCTGGCTAGGCAGGTGCACCCACCCGGAGAATGAAATCTCTCTCCTTCAGCCAGTCTCTTACGATACACGTGCCCACATTATGTGTGTCTATACAACCTTGAATGTAACATATGTAATATTCATTATATAGCGTGCACACTGTATGTATTTGGGCAACATAAGCAACGCAGTATTTAGTAATATTTAATAAATACATCTGTTTAAAATGGCAATTTTTATTCTGCGTGTTGGCAGCAGCATTAGGTTATTAAGGCTGAAAAGACACGAGATATCTACTGAATTGCTCCCTATTTTTTTAACTATCACCGTGCCAATGAAGACAGCCCGAAGGCAGTTTGATTTTGTCTCAGCAACCCCAGATTCGGGGAACATGGTGCTGCTACGGGCATCCTTCTGGGCCCTCACAGAGCACAGTGCTGGGGGTGAAGAGAAAAGCAAATCAAGCTCCTTGTTGCCCCCCCCCCCCCCCCCGAAAAGGATATCCAAGAGTCGGGCAAGGACAAACCCCTTCCAACAGGGAGCAAATATACGCAATATTTCCAAACCTAACCCAGCGTAACGCCCTGCATCCACCCCTTGTGTAACACCCTCTGCCTTTAAGTGTCTTATACAAGCCTTTACTCACTCAGCACTGAGCTGTGCCTAAGCTGGGATTGATGGAGAATCCTATTTAGGAAAACACTCTTGATGAGGAAAGCACGAAGCAAAGAGGAAATTTTGTATGGATGTTTCCAAGTGTGACGGCACGGTAATGCAGGGACCGTCTCCAGGAGTGCTCCCGGGGCACTTCAGATCGCTTGGTATAAAAGAGGAGCCTTGATTCAGCCCTGAGCATCTGAGCTGGCTGTGGTCGAGGATTACAAGAGCTGTTTTGATCAGGGGAAAATTTCTGTTTTTAGCACAGGCAGCAATTAAAATAGCTCGTGAATCTAAACACCTCGGGGAGCTGTCATAAAAGGAGGCAGAAAATCCATCTTCTGGACTCCTCTGCAGTCAGAGATGAGCTTGGAGAAAGCAGAGGAGACGAGAGCTTGAGGTTCACCTGGTGAAAAAGGACAACCTGAGACATCGAGCCAGATACACCAATTTGATCTCGAGATGGCTGAGGAGGATCTCCGGGGTTCCAGCACCCCTTTCTCACTCTCCTTTTCGGGCAGTGGCTTTCTCGCCCTGTACCAGGTCGGGGTGGTGCAGTCCCTCCTGGAGCTGGCTCCCGAACTGCTCAAGTCCGCCTGCAAGGTCTACGGGTCGTCCGCTGGCTCGCTCATCGCTGCCGCCGTGGTGTGCGGCATCGGCCTGGGTAAGATAGATATGGCTTGGATTTCCTGGCTATAGTTTTTTTTTTTTTATTTCAAAATGGAAATAGAGAAGCTAATGCCTTAAAGCACCGGTGGGGATGCGATACTGGTGTAAGTCGTATCACTCACAAGGCATAAATCTGCAGATGTTGCTACTTTTGGCAGTCACCGTGGAGCAATTTTGGGTGGTGTAAGGTGAAAAAGCCGGTTATTACTGCCTGAATGTTACCTCAGATGGTTGGGTAGATACTGCATGGGTAAAGCTGGATGTACCTGTATTTTATTGGCTCATTTTCCTGCTCCTGCTGAAGGAGCAGATCTTCTTCTCTTCTGCTACGAGGTCTAAGAAGTGCTGAGATGTGTCCCAGAGCAAGCCTATGTGGCCACAGTGGGTGGTTATGCCCACGTAAAGCCCCCTTGTCCCCTGTGGATGAGGTGCCTCGTCATCCTCAGCTACGAAGGGACACGAGTGGCAGTCACATAGGTATCTATAGAATTGACAGCCCTGTTTGAGTGTTGCTCTGGGTTGTCCCACTCAGCCTTCCCAGCAGAAGGGAAGAAGTGGCGCGATTCCCCTTTCCAGGTTGCGGAGCACCTTTTCCCTTAGCAGAAGCTCCAGGGCTCGTCTGTGGGACATGCCCGGTGAACAGCAGTCCCCGCTCCAGCCTGGGGCCAGGGTTTCCCTTATTGCTGCAAAAGAGGTTTTACTCTGAACCTCTTTAGACAATGTGGAAACAGGCTCCCGCTAGCAATAAGATCATCTATGTGTAGAATTAATTCAGAGCAGTTAATCCACTTTTAATAATCACATCCTCCCATATTTTCAATTACTGTCCATGTGTAAACATGCGTACACAAGACTTAAGTCCTCAAAGGCTGATCCAATCCCTAACGGGGACATTTAGGAGGCGCAGGGGTTTTAGGGTCCAAATAATGACAGAGGAAGCAGGGAGGAAACACGCTGTTCCTGAAACCTCTGGTGGATGCTTGAACCACTCTGCTGGAGCTAAAAATAATTCAAAACTTTGGCAAATATATTTAGACGAAGCAGAAAGGAACCTTTCTGCCCATATGGGAATGAACTCCTCTACAAATCACCAAGGGCCCCAAAACTTTCCTCTCTGATTCCTCATACTGGTGTAATTGGATGGAGCTGGGGCTCCAGCAGGTATAAATCAGTTTGGTAACGGGTCTTGCTGTGGGCACCAGTGCTGAAACGGGGGTCTGCGTCACCGAGGGTGGTAGGCACCATGCCCCTAGAGGTGCTGAGATGATCTCGTGCCCAAAACATCTTCCCCAGGAGAAGAAAAGACCTTTTGGGTAGTGACAACTCTGGTTGGGTTTCTAATAAGGAAAATGATTGTGACACAAACTCTGTCAAATTCACATTAGGGAGGATTGGGGCAAAAAGAGGGTTAAAGGTGTGCTTGGCCGCTGATGGGGTGTCCCATGGGGTGTTGTGGTTGTGTACCCTGACCCGGGCTGGGTGAGGAGCTCTGAGCTCTCTGAGCCAGGCTGTCCCCTGCCACCTCACAGGTGACCTCCTAGGCACATGCTTGTCACCAGCAAGCTGGTGCAGGCGGGGACAGTCACGGTACTGCATGCCAGGTCAATCCCTCACTTGCCCTGAGTCAAAGCCCATCCAGAGTCCAAGCCTCCAAAGCTGGGGTTGGCTCTCACCTCCTACCCGGCAGCTTGCGGGCAGTTTTTCCAGGTTTCCCCCCACTTCCAGGACATAGAGCAGCCAGACAGTGTCCAGTGGGTGCATCACTTGCTTAGGGTGTCTCTGGCTCTTTTGGCATCCCTGAGGACCCTGCATGAACCCGCCAAGCGTTAATCATCACACCACATGGCCTGAACATCCGCTCAAACATTTATAACCCCTCTTAATGCCTGTCTTGCTCCAGTTGCCTTCAGGACACTCCATCTAATCCATCTGTCTGTCCATGCTTCTAAAGCAATCTCACGAGACAGCCCGGGAACCTCTGCCCCTACAAAGCCACGGTGCTAAGGTGAACCCCTGGCTTTGTGCCGGTGCAGGGTCCTGAGGAGCCCACCTGGGCACAAGGATGGCTCTTTGCAGCATTGGAGAGCCAGAAAACTTTTTGCTGCAAAAGTTTAACTGTTCAAGGTGGGGTACTCATTGAATCATGGAACATTTCAGGTTGGAAGGGACCTTAAAGACCACCTAGTCCAAGCCCCACTGCCCTGGGCAGGGACACGTCCCACCAGCCCAGGTTGCTCCAAGCCCCGTCCAACCTGGCCTTGAACACCTCCAGGGATGGGGCAGCCACAGCTTCTCGGGGCAACCTGCCCCAGGGGCTCACCAGGCGCACAGGAAAGAATTTCTTCCTAAGATCTCATCTAAATCTCCCCTCTTTCAGTTTAAAACCATTCCCCCTCATGCCATCGCTCCTCTCCCTGATCCAGAGTCCCTCCCCAGCTCTCCTGGAGCCCCTTTAGGCACTGGAAGGGGCTCTGAGGTCTCCCCGGAGCCTTCTCTTCTCCAGGCTGAACCCCCCCAACTCTCCCAGCCTGTCCTCCCAGCAGAGGGGCTCCAGCCCTCCCAGCATCTGATATTCCCCGAGGAGAGCTCCCCATTTCAGCAAAGGGACCAAGCTCCCTCCTCGGGATCAGGCTGACTGTGGGGTTTGCAGCACCCGTCTTCCCCTCCATCGCTATGCAGCCTTTAAAACTCGGTGTCTCCTGAGCCCCCAGCCAGGGCTCTGCTCCCTTAATCCAGGTTCTGGGACATGCAGACACACGTAATGACTATTAACACTGGCTGGGAGGTCACCGGCGGAGCTCAGATGAGCGGGGAGTCCCAGTGCGGTGCAGCCATGGTGCCTGGCTTGCAGGAAAGCCCTAAGTGGTGGAGGTGGGGGTCTGCTCCTCCTCCTCACCTTTGAGCTGACCCACCTCACCCATGAAGCCTGGGGCTGCCCACGTGCAAAATCGGAGGTGGAAGGCAGGAATGTGTTGTGCAAGTCACATTGGCACCGATAACTCCATGTCTACACCTGCATCCCTCTTCCTGGGGCTCTTTGGAGCCTTTCCCTAATCCACGGCCAGGCACATCTTGAGCACCCGTCTCTGGTGCAGATGGGGATTTCACCAGTGGGGTCACGCTCAGCAATACGCTGTCCTTTGAGGACATCTTGGGTGTGATGTCCCCCTTTCTGCCCCACCACCACATCCCCCATTATAGCAGCAGTATCATCCTGGGGTCATGCACAAAGCTGCAATAGGCTTTATTTGTAGGGAGTGTTAAAAATAGGATTAAAAATATAACTGTTAGGGCAGCAGGGATACTGAATTTCTCTCTGTCTTTTCCCCTCCTGCTCTGCATCAGATGACCTAAAGGAATTTTTCTTTGCCATGGCAAAAGAAGTCAGGAAAACCATCCTGGGCCCTCTCTCTCCCAAGTGCAGCTTGTTGGCAAATATCAAGAATGTTTTGCAGCGGATGCTACCAGAGGACTCCTACCAGCTGGCTTCGGGGCGGCTGCACATCTCGCTCACACGGGTAGTGGATGGCCAAAACGTCATGGCCTCTGAGTTCAGCTCGAAGGAGGAGCTCATTCAGGTAAAGGGACCTTCCTCTGATGCTGTTGGAAGACCTCTACCTACTGCTTGGGGTGGAGGTACCTAAGCGTTGATGACTTACTGCACTGTTGTCTACCCAAGATGATAGTGTCAGGAAGCTCTGCCAGAGCTCTGGTCCCACCACAGTGAGCTCCGTTGGGCTTGGAGGGAAGGAAGATGATGTTGTTAGGTCCAGAGCCATCCAGGAATAAATCATGCTAAAAAAGCAGAAGGCTTCTTTCCAGCCTCAAAAAGATGATGCCGGCACATGGGCCAGCTCTAACAAGTGCTAATGACTCTTTGCAAAGAGCTGTGTTAATCCTATCATGACCTCTCAGCTTTCTGGACAGGTCTCTTCTCGACCAAGTCCCATTGGCAGAAATTGTCCTTGTTGCCTCAGCACTTTCCTGGGAGGAAAGAGCTGGACAAAGCACCAGTGTTGCCAAACAACAAGAAGCTGATTAACCAGTAAATTAGCTGCTGGGGAAAGAATCCCAGGGTAAAACCTTAACGAGGCTGACTATGAGGTCATGGGATTGCTTGCCCCAGGAAGATAGTAGAGGATGACAAGTCCATGGAGATGCTGGAGTTCACCCCATGGTACCTGCCCTAGGTCAACCAAGGAGCCTGGGATGCTCATTCCCAGCTGATGAGATTAGGGACAAATGGTTGCAAATGGCCCAGCAGTGGCTTTGTCATTGACCAATCCCAGCAGAATGAAAATGTGTTGTGAGAATGTCTTGGTTTTGTCCAAAACCCCACAAATACAAAAAATGACCTTGAAGTTCCACCTTGCCACCGTCAAAGGGCAGTGCTGGGACAGTGATAAATAGATATACAACTCTAACAATGCTGGCAGCTACAAAACTAAAAAATGGAGTGCTATGCCCTTCTCAAGAGAAATGTTTCAACTTTATTGAAATGAGATGTTTTCCCCTTCTTGAAACATTTCTTCTTGACACAGTCCAGGTGGTACCGACAGCCTGGTTCCAGATGATTTGTCAAGCCTGAATTTGCAGGCACCCAGTTGACAGCTTTCGTCCAGCAGAACTTTGACAGGAACATTTACTTCTGCAATCCTTTTCCTCCCTCAGGCTCTCCTCTGCAGCTGCTTTCTTCCTATCTACTGTGGATTCATCCCTCCGTCCTACCGCGGTGTGGTGAGTGCTGTTTCCAATAACACATGCGCTCCCAGTAGTATGTTCTTGCATTTCAACTTTATATTCCTTTGAGCAGAGAGGGGTATATATGTCTATGCTTCTGTAGTTAATGGAGGATGATAAAGCCTTTTAGCTTGTTCTTCATCCCATCCTAAGATGATAGTTGGGTGGAACTGCCATCTGGAGAGCCCTCTCCTGCTTTGCCTATGGACAGAGCCTGGATGACTAGATCTTGCCTTGCAGATCTCCCAAGTGAGGTGAGAGGACGCCCACACTTGGGACTGACACAGGATCCAGTTATCCTGGGCAGGATCTGTCTGCAGTGCAGATGTCTCCATTAGCTCAGGTGCAGACTTGCATGGCTGAAATATTGAAAGTTTGTGGGAGGATCCTCCCCCAACCATGTACATATTCATACTCTGTGAAACACCGCAGTGAAGTCAACAAATTTGGGCTGGCTTGTTGCTGCCCCTCAGTGAAGGAGGAGCAGAGCAGCACGGTGGTGAAGCACGTGCAGATGGACCACGGAGCAGCCGATGCACCATGACCCGTTTGTGTGTCAAAGCCCACAGAGCCACGGTACCAGATTTGCAGCTGGGGCAGAGCGAGGATCTTCCCTTCACTCTTGTTGGTCTCACTGATTGAGCCTCTTTAGCCCTCGGATGTCTGTACCTGGCTGCCAGATCAGATCTCCAGCTCACCCCGGACTGCAGGGCTTGCCCCCAAAGTGCATAGAGTCTGCAGGACCCAGAACTCGGCGGCATTGCTGCGTGAGGCTCCCCTGCACTGTTGTTTCGTGAGCATTTAATTCAATCAGCTGCAGTCCTTGCAACCTCAAATCCCACTGAGGTGGGTGGTAAATTCAGATTCCTTTTGGAATACAGCAAATGACATTTTCCTCGCCCAGTGAGTAATCCTCCAGGGATTTGCAGGCAATTATTAAATGCGGGAGCCCCACTGCTTGAGCTCAAGACTTGAAAATTATACAACACTGTAAATTCAGTGATGTTTGAATTGGCTAATGACTGCCAAAACAACTTTACAAAGCTCTGTGAATTAAAATAATTATATTTCTATTTTAATAACCGCTGTGGATTACAGCACCTGGTCGAGGAGCTGGCTGGGTGCCACAGGCAGGGCAGCAGCAGGAGCTGGCAAAGGCCAGGATGAAGAGCAAGGGGTGGGAAGAGATGCTGTTGCAAGTGGGAAGAGAGGACATGCTGGGACTGGCTAGCGGCAAGAGAGGTCACCTTTGCAGCTACTTTCTCACGCACGCTGTAGCAATCCTCAAAGTAAATCCTCCCTCTGCTCTTCCCCCTCAGCGATACGTTGATGGAGGATTCACTGGCCTGCAGCCCGTTTCCAGCTTGGAGGAAGCTGTGATCACTGTGTCCCCATTCACAGGAGAACTCGATATCTGCCCACGGGATTGTCCCGCTATCTTCTTCTGTTTCCAGATCTTCAACGGCAGCATTCAGATCTCGATAGAAAACCTCTGCAGGATTAGCTATGCTCTCTTTCCGCCCAGCACCATGGTAAGCCCACCAGGTCTTTCTAGCTTTGTTTCGGTTAAAACAAATTAATGCAGGACCTGCCTTCCCAAGCTTTAAGGTTCAGCTCAATCTCCATAGTTAATTAATCAGATTTCAAGAGCAGTGCTTCTTTTTTGGTGGACAGAGCTGATGGGTGACAAACACGGGATGGGATCCACCCTGGTTTGACAAGCTGCAAAGGACCGGCGCTTTAGTGGTTGGAAACCAGCCTGTGCTTGCTGCCTTCCCAAATGGGCCATCCCAACCACCCACGGTCAAACAGCTTTGGGTAGATCCTGCTGGTGCCTAGCTGGAGGGCTCTTTAGTGACCTCAGGTGTTTCTCCTTGCAGGTCTTGAATGACATTTTCTCCCAAGGGTACCAGGACACTGCCCTTTTCCTGTACAGGAACAGTAAGTGTTACCCCAAGACCCAAAGCGCAGCCTAGAAGCATGACCCACTGCCCATCGGCATTGCATGGCCGATGCAACCGGGCAAACATCAGCCCTTTCTTTTCGTGTCTCACAGATGCCTTTGGCTTTAACTACTTCGATGGCAATTTCCGCTTTGCCAGCATGTGTGGGAAGAACGACTCTGCACAATCCAACAGGACGTTCACTGGCCTATGCAAAAGGGTACCGCAGCGTCTGGCTCCTTGCTTCCTGCCAGGTAGAGGATTTGGGGTATTGATCTTGGGTTTTGGGGGTGGCTGGGGCCACTGAGGGCTGCTGCAGTCTTTGAGAGGATAAGTATCATAATTAAGACATTACTGAGGTATTTATTATAGTAAATATTTCTATATCTGCTCTAGCCATTCACAAAGAGGCTTTGTAAGAGCAGCTCAAGCTGGATCCTGGCCTGGGCTCCAGTACCTGTATGCTGAGCTGCAACAAGAGTTGCTGGACAAGAGGAATTTTTGCATTTATTGGGTTATTTCTAATTACTGGTTTTAATTTACTTCTCCATTGTCATTCACGGGCACAGGCTTGGCTCTGTGGAAGAAGGAACAGGTGACTGGACTGCAGGATCCACTGTCAAAGCTCCTGTTGCAGCCATACAGGCTGCCAGCTTTTGTCAGGAAGGGGTAAGAACACCTTGACAGAGGCATCGAAGCTGAGAGTTATACAGAAACCAGGGGCTGTGCCTTCAGCAGCGGCGAGACAGCTGAAGGGACACGGTGCAAGATCAGCAGGAGGCACGCAGGCGTCTCTGCAAATGTTGGGGTGTGCAATGGGCTGTGGCAACCTTCAGGTGGTGGCTCCATGGGAAACACACGGGGCAGTGTGGGCTGGTGGCGGGTCCCCCCTTTCCTATGGACCAGGGCAAGCCGATGCACATCTACTGCATAAATAGGCTTAGCGGCATCCCCTTCTTCTGCAGGAGGATTTGGTATTCCCTGAAGGCAAGCTCTCAGGGAGAGGGGGTATGGCTAGCAGGAAGACCATAGGATTGCTTGGTTGTGAAAAAGAGCATTACAGTGTGCATTTACTCTTAACACCCTCCCCCTTTTGCTGCATTTCCCAGTCATTAAAATCTGCCTGTTTATTTTGGTTTTGCAGGCTGAAGAAGCTGTGGGGGCTGGTGGAAGGTATCAGCTCCATGGTAAAACGGTGTCAGAAGCACCTCCAAACCATGGTGCCTGCTTTGCCTACGAGAGCCGTGGCCAGGAGGTGAGGTGCTCAGGGGATGCAAACCCTCAGCAGAGGGAGGGCAGGGTGCGGAGCAGGGAAACCCCAAAGGACCTCACCCATGGGTCACTGATGCTGAGCCTGGGTAAAAAGTCCAAACCTGGGATACCCCACATTAAAAGTAGCTACCTAAAAAATCCAAATCTGGGATGCTCCACATTAAGAGTAGCTAATTTTTGTCCCTGTCATATTATTTATTTAGTGACATCAGAAAGAAGCTATGAATTAGCTTAATGCTGCTTCCCTACAGCAACATATTCTTGTTCCAGAGCATCTATCTGCTGGGCTCTGTCCTAGCAGGACAGCAGGCACGTTCACCAAGATCCTGAGAGGTGTTTGGCACCAAACTCTCACGGATTCAAGGAATTTAACTTTTCACACAGATAACTTTTAATCCATCCCTCCCTAAAACCTGCTTGCAAGTTACTTCACGTGCAGCTGGCAAAGAGACTTGCACAGAATGATTTCATACCGCAGGCAGCTAGACAACTCCTCAGCCATGAAGAAGCCCTTCAGTATCAAATGTCGCTGGGGCTACTTGTCCCTGTTGGATCCCTCACCATGACTCCACTAACTGCCAGTTTGTTCCCTTAGGTAACCATCCTGGATGGGCCCTGGGGGGTCTCCAACACCATGCGATTCTGCCGCCCCGGGAAGCGGTGGGTGACACCGGAGCTCATTTCACACAGTGGCACGGCTGCTGGTTTTTATGGAGTATTTTAGGGGTGTTTTTTTCATTTGGGGAAACCGGCTGATTTTGTTCCCAGTGCTGCTGCCGCAGTGTCC